GGCTCCAAACCCGCGATGACGGAAAGCGCCCCGGGCACTCCCTAGCTGCTCTGCTGCTTCGTGATGCTAAATGAGGCACACACAGCCGCTCGCCACACATTATTAAGAAACAGAACCAGCTGGGAATACATCGCCCCTCCTGCACGCCACCACCTGACCCCCTGCCTCAGGCTTCCTGTGAGACGCAGCCCCCAGCCCGGAGGACGGGCCGCCACGCCTCACCTGCCAGGAAGGGGTCGCCACAGACAGCGGCCACCTCGCTTGTCACCAGCCACACACAAGGACAACAAGACGCCATCAAATTCCTCGGCGCATTAATTCTGTGGCTCTTGATGCTGGAAACAGACGTTAAATCTTTCCTACGTAATTTGTGTCCTGTCTCTGAGAACTGTTCTCGGTGACCACAAGCCGACAGCCCCGGCTGTGCTGCCTGCCTTGCGACGCCGCACAGGTTTGAGATCTGGCCCGTGGCCGAGGGCGTGGGGCACCGGTGCTCTCAAAGTTGAGGGGCAGAGAGGCAGACTCCACGGGCCTCAGAGGATGCGCAAAGTTACCCCTCATCTGTCAAATCAAAAACCTCGGCTGGCTGGGAAGAGGCATGCTGGTAGCTGGTAAAGTCGGACGAATCCCGTCGAGGTCTCTAACTTACTCTGCTTCTGCTCAGTCGGCGCCTTTCAGAGGACCTGGAGCTTTCTGTTTCCTGCAGCTCAAGGCAAGCGAGAGGATGTTGAAGCCACACGCACAAGACCCGAGCCGGGCAGCACCAGGGAGAGGCCCGGTGCCGGCCGAGGACAGCAGTCCGAGAACCACGGCTGGGACATAAAGTGGGTGGCGGGCCTGCAGCGTCTCTCTGGGGACCTCCCTCTACTCTCTGTCACCTGTGTGCTGCAGCGGGGACATGGGAACTGCCCGCCCTGGGCCTGGCGCACACCCGGCCAGCACGCGGACCCAGCAGAAGCAGCAGCAGCTGCTGGGCCGGGGGGGGCACTTTCGAAGGCTGCCCCGTCCCCTGGAGTGAGGCCACCTCCACTGGGTTCTCTGAAAAAAAACAAAAACCTCGGCTTCCTCCTAAATCCTGGCAATCCCACGAGCTGCGGGCGAGCCCGGTTGTTCTGGGGAGAATCCTTCCAGAAACTTCTGTTACATAACATGCCCCCCACCCCACAAACACCCCACGCATCGGTGTGTGGTCACTTCCCACAGAACCCCAGGGTGACGTGCCACCCCAAGAGTAACTGCTTTCCCCCAAGGAACTACCAACACGGACCCTTCTGGGGTCACCCCATCTCCTGGGAAACCTGATACATGTGGCATCATTTATGAAGAAGTCCAAATCCTAACACACTTTGGTCCTGTCCCTAGCCAAATCACCACCCCAGGTTAGCTCCATCTGCAGGCTCTTTTAGCCTGAGCAAGACACGTGGGCGCCCTGCACCGTGCTCCTCACCGAGAGGCAGAGGTTAACAACGTCAACTTGGCAGAGCTGGGAGCACAAAACATTGAACACAGTGGCGGATCCACTCTCTCGTCCCATCCGTCCCCAAATGGCTTCGTTCCACCCCAAATGGCTTCGTTCCTCCGGGAGGCCTGACCCGAGGGAACTCGCTCCCTAGGGGACCACCGGAAGCTGCACAGCCCCTGGCCCCGGCACCGCAGCCACACACGTGGCTTCCCACCAGTTTTCAGCTGCAGCTGAGGTCAGGGCTCTAATTAAGGTATTTTCCACTGCCCAGACAACTGCGAGCGGTAACCACGTGTTTCTCCTCTTCCCCTTCCAGGAACTGCCCCAGACAGATGCAGAGCCCGAGTCCCACGTCCTGGAAGCTACATGGCAAGAACGTCACCTTCTTCCTACCCATCAACCTGGATTACGTAACGGCTCCTGCAGCTCCTGCCACACGGCCCCTCAAGAGGGCCACAGCTCATTCCCGGGACCGCAGACATATGCCGAGACCCCGGCGTGCAAGGGAACCCCAGTGGGGGCAGTGGCACCCTTGCCTTTAAGAGGCAAGTTCCATCTGCCTGCATTCAGGTCCAGAGTCCCCACGTGGGCAGGGGTGGGGGTGAGGGGGGAAGAGGAGGGCCAGCAAACAGGCTGTGTTACAGTAACCAGCTCGCCATTGTTGATTGGGATGTTTAATTGCAAATGTTATGTAACCTTCAAGTACGGAGTATTCTGAAGCTGTTCCTAGCCAGACACATCCAAATCCAGTGGATTCTTCGAGCTCAGAGTGGGAGGGGGCTGTCTGCCATTTACACAGACGCACACATACACACCATCGCAGATGTGAACACCAAGACCCGGCCAATGGGACCGCTTGTCCCAAGCCCCAAAGCCAGCTACCAACAGCTGCCAACAGAGTCAGGATGGAACCCCAGGTGTCCTGGTTTCTGAAGGTTGCTGTCTCTGCCACACACCTGCCGTGTCTCTGGGAGCACTTGAACCAAGACCTGCGGTGCTGGCCACGGCCGCTCCATCAGAGTTCTACACTCCTGAGTGGGAAAGGGTTCTCAGACACAGCAAGTGGCTCCCTGATGCGGTTGAGTCACGCTTCCTACCACTGCTGCTCTCCCAAAAGAAACCTAGGCGCCTAGAACACGCTTTCACAAGCAGCCGGTACGCGTGTGATGTGCAAGCGCTCGGCCTGAGAGAGTGCCCGGCAAAGAAGTGGGTTGACAACAAAGCAAAACTGAAAAGGAAGAATTTACTCTTGATGGCACAATTTGCATGATGGTGTAAAAAAAAGAAAGAAAAAAATGCAAGAAAGCTGATGAAATTAGAAACTACCAGGAACTGTGATGTAATATTTCACCGTGCAACACAGCTTCGGATATCAGTAGTATGGTACAGGGCATAAAAACTGCTATGTTGCAATTACACTATCATTTCCAAAAATAACTTAATGCACAGTGTTTAACCTCCTTTCATCTTTATCCAAAACCTTACCTGTGAATCACCCGGAGCTACAGCGTGCAATGCTGACAGTCAAACACGAGGCCCATTACTTTCCCTCGGCAGACCCTAGGAGCGTGTCAAACACGAACGCTCTGCTCGGGTTTTAAGAATTGCAAACAGTCACCAACCCGCTGGGAGCCGAGCTGCAGAGGAAAACGTGGGACATGCCCAGTGCACTGGGGCCCCAGGAACACCTGAAAACAGGATTCATCAACCTTAAGAACACGGGTGCCCGCACCAGGCCCCACACACAGATCAGCCCGCTGCATGTGGCTGTCAGCAGCAGCCCCAGATGGCAGCAGGGTCCCGGCACCCTCGGGGCTGCCTTTCTTGAAACTGCTCCGGGGTCTGCACTCAGGCAAGCAGGCTCCTCGGGTCACTGACACCCACGCCCTGCAGCTGGGAGAACCCCAACAGTTACTTGATTTCCCTGCACTCTGTTGAGGCCCCGAAGGTTTCAGCCACGCCAGTGTGACTGATTGTTACGGGGACAGACAAGCAAGGCTGGGCACCAGGCCGATACGTTGTATTTCCTCAGCTCTCAGAGGGCTGTCATTCCTCTACCTGAAATGCCGAACCCAGCCCATAACCCCAGTCTGGCACCTTGACACGTTTTATAGCCACGGCACTTAAGCACAATAAATAATCCACTAAAGCGTAGCTCAGGCTTCACCCCCTTTGGGCTGAACCTCGACCTCGCTGCTCCCTCCGGAGCAAGACCTCTTCTTGGAAATCAACAACCCATTTAGTGCAGAGCTCTGGGCACACAGCATGTGTGTGGTCAGCGCACGCTGCCCGGCTCTGGCCTGCAGGCCACCAGCGCTCACACTCAGCTGGAAGGGACCTGACGGGTCACCTGGGGCAACCCTGCTCCTACTCACCAGGAAACCGAGGCCCAGCACTGCTAAGGGACTCTCCCTGCACCTTCTCCTGCACCGACACCAGCGCTGTACGTGTCGGGTAAACAACACAACGCAACACTCTGGGGCACAACTGTTTGAACAAGACCAAATGCTTCCATGTGGCTTCTCAAGACGGACCTGCATGCACGTAACGCCAACAGCCAAAGCTGCAAACCAGAGAAGCGGCGGGCAGCAGGAGGCCTTGGGTCTGCCCTGGAGCCCCAGCCCCTTGTCTCTGGGGCTGAGAAGAGTGAAGTGGGCTGACAAGGAGGGATGGCCACGTGAGCCAAGATCTGGTGGCCCTGCTCGGCGGCCATCTGGGATGACCACAGCTCGCAGGCTCCCGCAAGCCGGGCAGGTAGCTCGATCCATCCTCACCCCAGGGAAGGGCTTAGGATCAGAGCTGAGGCCACGCCAAGCATGCGGGCACACAGCACGGAAAGAACCAAACTCTGTCCCTTCCCCCCGGAGGCCTGGGAAGACAGGAAAGCAGGTAGCCAGGGACACACGATGCTCTCCCCTCGACTGAGAGAAGTAGCTGCACCCTAAGACACACGACCGGGGTGCAACACGGAGGAGGGACAGACAGAGCCACACGCAACAGCAGTTCATTTCATCTGAACACTCACACGCAGCTCACTCCTGGGAGGGAGGCCATGCTCAGGCACAACGGGACAGGTGTGCTGCTTAGGAAGGCTCAGCCTGGGCGAGGAGAAGGAGCGCCCTGGTTTCCAGTCCCGGCCTCCTCCTGCCCAGCCTCGTGACCTTGATTAAGCCATTCCCTCTCCCCGGGGCCTCAGTTTCTTCCTCTGAACCAGGCAGAGAGGAGGAACCACTACCTGGTTTGGGGACACAACCTGGGCGCCCACTAAATACGCGTCCTCTCTCCCCACTGATGACAGGCTGCACGCATATATCGTTGATTACAACCAAACAGGTCTCCTGCCTGCGTGTCAAGCCTGCATCTGTCTCCCGAAGGTGCCTGGGCGGCTCTGCCTCCAGGCGGGGCCGGGGACCAGGGGAACCGAGGGGCTCCAGAAGCCCCAGAGGCTCCCAGGCTCTGGGTGGGGGCCGGCTGGGGAGCTCGGGGGCGGCCTCCGCTGCGAGGGGGCTTTGTTCCCGAGGCGGAGGGCCTGGCTTACCGAGAAGCGCATCCGGAGGCGGGCGGGGGGCGCGCGGGGCACGCAGCAGAGCCACAGCCCGGCCCGGGCCTGGGGCGCCGGAGCCGGAGGAAGGCGAGGAGGAGGAGGAGGAGGAGGAGGAAGCTGCCGCTGGCTCCTGCCTCATTCTCCTGGGCAGCGCTGACCCGCTGGCTGCCGCCGGCTGGGGTTGGCCGCCGGGCGCTGGACCCCGGGAGCGCTGCTCATGTCCCCGGCCGCCGCTGGCGAGCTGTGCGCGCAGCCGGGTCGTGTCCGGGCGGCACCCGGGGCTTGGCTGCAGGACCACGAGAAGGCAGCGAGGAGAGAAAGAGGGAAAAAAAAAAAAAGAGAGAGCGTGAGAGCGCGCGGAGCTGCACCCCGCGGGAGCCGGGGCCGGGGCCGGGGGCGGGAGCCAGCAGCACCCCGCCGCCCCACCCACCGCGCCTCTGCGCCCAGCGCTGCGCGCCCGCCGGGGCGCCGAGCCCCAGAAACTTTAGCACATGGCCAGTCCCGTGGCCGCGGTGGCCGGAGCTGCCAGCACTCTCTCCCGGCCCCGGCCCCGAGCGCAGCTTACCGGCGGCGACTGCGAGCGCGGCGGCCGGTCGCCCACCCGGCCGTGCGCAGAGCAGTGCGCACCGGCTGGGCAGGACGAAGGGGCTGGCGGCTGCAGGGGAGGGGCACCTCGGCGGCAGTGATCCGCGCGGGTTAAGGCATCCCGGGAGGGGCCGCGTGCCGGCCTCGGTCTGCAGGCCCGGATGGGGGAGGGTCCGTGTACCCCCCGCCCCCGCCCCGCGGCGCCACTGTGACGCGGAGCGCGGGCTTCCCCGGCCCCGGGTCTGCGGAGCCGGCCGCGTTACCTAGCGACTCGCTCCGGGGAGCCCACGCTGACGCGCGCTGGGCTGCGGCAGCCGAGGGGAGGGGCGAGGAGCGAGGGGAGGGGGAGCTCCGGGGCGGGGGCGGGGGGAGTTCGGGAGGGGGCCGGCGGCCCGGGCAGGAGCTCCTCCCTCCGCTTACCCCTCTGCGCCGGGGAGGGGGCCCGAGGCGGACGCGGCCTCAGCCAGGCCCTGGAGGATGGGGGTCCCGCGCTGGGCGGGGCGCGGATGGAGCCGGGCACGGGATGCTCGGTTCGCTGCACTGGGGATGCAGCAGCAGCAGGTGGCGGCGACGCGGCCCGTGGAGGCCCCGGCGCCCAGAGGCGCGCGAAGATGAGCCTGGCCCCGGCGGGCGCGCGGCGGATGTGGCTGTGGGCGCGGGGGTGTCTGTGACATGCTCCCACCCACGTGGCACACATGGGGACCTGGCGACACGGACGGAGGAGGCGCCTCCTCCCTTCTCCCTGGACATTTTGCTCCTGCGCTGGCTGGCTGCTCATCATGGAAGCTCAGGTCGCTGAGCTCCTGCTCGGAGCTCCTCCCACCTCCCTGGGAACCGGAGCAATTGCGGTCAGACGCTAACCCCTGCTCCTCTTTCTGGACTTGCCGGGTCGGGGGCGGGGGGTGGGGGAGGATGCCTGGGGCAGACTAGGGTTCAAGACCGGACCCCTCCGTTGCCGGTAGTACGTAGGTAGCTTAAGTTACTAAACATCTTCAGTAAAATGGAGGCTTTGTCCCCGAAGCTTATAGCTACTACGCACGGGTATCTAAGGCACTCCGTGTACACGAACATGGGTTTTCTATAAGGTGTGCAGCCTGTGCCCGCCTAGGAAGATCCCTGGCAGAGCGGGCGGGCACCACTGCCCCGCAGGCTGAGGGAGGGGACTTGCCCGAGTCCATGGGTGCCTGCCTGCCTCAGAGCAGAGCTGGGCACAGAACCTAGACTTTCTGGTGAGCTGGTTCCCAGCCCACCGTGGCGCCCCTTCCGCAGCTGGGAGGCGAGGAATCCGCCTTCCCACTTCTCAGATGCACCCGCCTCCCTCCAGGCCCTGCGACACATGGGAGCCGCTCGCGGCCTCACCTGCAGGGCCTGCTGTTCACTCTTCTTCCCTGCTACACCTGTGAGGACAGAGAGGCAGAGGGCACACCCTGCAGACGGTGAGGGCAGGAGGCCCCACCATGGCCCTGGGTCTCCACAGGGCAGGGCCCCTCCCCTTTTGGCCCAAAGACAGGACATTTCCCCCAATTATTTATTTTGTTTGAGATGCCGGTAACACCTGTTGGAAAACCCTGCAGACCCATGCACACAGAAACCTGGGTCGTAGGAACCCGAGGCCCAAAGGGAGCCTCGTTCTGGGGAAAGCACCTTAGCATTCCAGCCCACGAGTCACCTCCCGACATCTCCCGGGGATTGGAACACCACCTCTGAATTTTTATGTGTGGTGGCAGCCAGGCAGGTGGTCCACAGACACTCCAGAAGGGCTCCTTCCTGGCACCAAGTGGGCAGCCAGATCTTTCTTTAGCCCAAACATCCTGACACGCAGGTGCACGCTGACGTCTGATTTGGTGGAGGGCTCACTGCTCACCAACAGAAACCTCGGGGCTTGCATTCCATGTAAAGGGGGCCCTGCTATTCCAGGAAGCGCATCCTACAGGCAAGAGCGACTTGAGGACAGGAGCATCTCACAATCCATGGAGATGTGAAAACCAGGGGCCGTGTCCCCGCCGGATTCCGCTTGTTCACCCTTTGCGGCATGTGTGTGGGGGTGGCTGGAGGGGGCGGCCCGAGCACTCCTCTCTACACTGCACTGTCGTTCCTCCTGTTTTTCTCGAGTAATGGAAATGGAAGGTGCGCAAGCCGGTCCATGAAGGGAGACCATGAGTTCCTAAGGCCAGAGAAGGATTGCCCATCTGCAGTGCGTGGAGGGAGCTCTCCCAAAGTCTGAAAGGAGTGTTCACGGAAGTGTGGACAGGGGTGGGCGGGAGGCATGCAGACATGACTGAGATAAGCCTTGTCTCCTCTGGGTCCTAACAGGGACGTTTATAGAGGGGTTAACCCATGCCAGGTACCCCAGGTCCTAAGAGCTTTATCCACAGGAGCTCATAGTAACCCCACCAAACCCTGTAGGACAAGTCCACCCCCTTTTCCTAAGAGGGGAAGTTCAGATTGGTTTAGTCCTCCGAAGTCAAGGAGCTGTCTGGCAGATGGCCGACTCCAGGAACTGCAGTCCTGTCTTCCTGACCCCAAGGCCAGGTTCCTAACAGCTGGCTCACATATGCAAGGGTCCGGGATAACGCACCGAGTACCTAGTTGACATTTGGGACGGTGACGGAGATGTGAGCTGTCTCCAGCACAGTCTTGGAGTGGGGCGCACTAGCTATTGTTTCCACCATCAAACCCTCAGTGTTGTTCTGAATTGATGTTCTAAGGGTCCCCAACTACTCTCCTTGGAGGCATAGAGGAAAGTGAGGATGCCAGTCTGTAGGGACTGCAGCTGGCTACCCTGAGGAGGTGGCGTCTGAATTAAACTGCCAGGATCATGGGGAGTCAGGGGAAGTGCACAGAGCTGTTCACCAGCAGCCCATGTGGGCGGGGCTGAGAAAGACCCCCAGCAGGGAGGCAAGAGAAGGGATGCAGGAAGTTCCAGGAAGCTGCAGGACACGGGTAGAGGCAAAGCCCCGAGGCCGGGAGGAACCCAGGGAAGCCCAGGACTCCGGTCAGTGCTGTTTCTCTCCTGATGGAGCGGGCATGGCCATCTGCTGGCCTGGCCTTTGGGGTGGGCTGTGGGGAGACAGCGGGGCAGACGACTGGGGAAGGGGGCCCAGCATCCAGACAGCCACCCAAGCACAGATTAGTGGCAGTGGGGTTGTGGTCCCTGCCTGTCCCAGCACCTTGCAGGGGCATTGTGGGGCACACAGTGCATTACGCCAGTGACTGGTCAGGTGACAGGGCCTGGGGACCTGCAGGACACTGTAGAACACACAGTGCACTACCCCAGTGACTGGGCGGGAGACAGGGCCTGGAGACCTGTAGGGACACTGTAGAACACACAGTGCACTACCCCAGTGACTGGGTGGGAGACAGGGCCTGGAGACCTGCAGGGACACTGTAGAACACACAGTGCACTACCCCAGTGACTGGGCGGGAGACAGGGCCTGGGGACCTGCAGGACACTGTAGAACACACAGTGCACTGCCCCAGTGACTGGGCGGGAGACAGGGCCTGGAGACCTGCAGGACACTGTAGAACACACAGTACACTACCCCAGTGACTGGGCGGGAGACAGGGCCTGTAGAACACACAGTGCACTACCCCCAGTGACTGGGTGGGGGACAGGGCCTGGAGACCTGCAGGGACACTGTAGAACACAGTGCACTACCCCAGTGACTGGGCAGGGGACAGGGCCTGGGGACCTGCAGGACACTGTAGAACACACAGTACACTACCCCAGTGACTGGGCAGGGGACAGGGCCTGGGGACCTGCAGGACACTGTAGAACACACAGTGCACTACCCCAGTGACTGGGCAGGAGACAGGGCCTGGAGACCTGCAGGACATTGTAGAACACATAGTGCACTACCCCAGTGACTGGTCGGGTGACAGGGCCTGGGGACCTGCAGGACACTGTAGAACACACAGTGCACTGCCCCAGTGACTGGGCGGGAGACAGGGCCTGGAGACCTGCAGTTGAGTGAATGTTTGCATGGGGCATAAGCAATGCACTTTCTCTCCGCATTTTGTGGATCTGAGCCCCTTGTTCCCACAGTGTGCTCACTGAGTTGTGCATTTGTTCACTTACTCAATGTCCACGAGGCTCCTGCCACGCGCCTGATCCTCTGTGGCTCTAGGCAGTCAGCAGTGAACTTGCTGTGGACGTCGCCCTGAAGCTGTTCACAGCACAGGGGGACAGAGAGAGCAGGCAGGCCTGCAATGCATTCTCACGAGTCCATGGGTCATGTGGTTGCACACAAGTGAGCCCCTTCCTCGGACACAGGGGATTCACCTTGGTGGAGGTGGTCTCCAAGAGGGGCCTTGGAAGATGAGTGAGAGCAAATGAAGGGACGTGGGTTGGGGCGGGGCCATGTTTCCCACAAGGAGAGGCGGGTCGACAAGTGCAAAGTCACAGCTGGGTGGGAAGGGTAAGCTGCACAGTAGGATGACTCTGGTCAGCGATGCTGTGTTGAATATTTCCCAAGAGAGAGAGGAGAGGGCCCTTGATGTTCTTACTACAAAGAAAGGATAGATGTCTGAAGTGATGGATTAGCTCAACGCCATGACTGGATTACTGCACAGTGCCCCTGCACACGTATGAGACATCACAGCCTACCCCTGCACAGTGCCCCTGCACACGTTTGAGACATCACAGCCTACCCCTGCACAGTGCCCCTGCACACATATATCACACCCTACCCCTGCACAGTGCCCCTGCACACGTATGAGACATCACACCCTACCCCCTCCATGTGTTCAATTATCTATCCTGTCAATCAAAAACCAAAATTTTTCTTTCTTTTTTTTTTATTTATTTGACAGGTAGCGTTACAGACAGTGAGAGAGAGAGAGAGAGAAAGGACTTCCTTCCATTGCTTCACTCCCCAAATGGTCGCCACAGCCAGAGCTACGCCGATCTGAAGCCACGAGCCAAGTGCTTCCTCCTGGTCTCCCATGCGGGTGCAGGGGCCCAAGCACTCGGGCCATCTTCTACTGCTTTCCCAGGCCACAGCAGAGAGCTGGACTGGAAGAGGAGCAACCGGGACTAGAACCTGGCGCCCATATGGGATGCCAGCGCCAGAGGTGGAGAATTAACCAAGTGAGCCATGGCGCTGGTCCCAAAATTTTTTAAAATCAGTATCTCCACGTTTTAACAAGCTTACCTTTTTTTTAAAAAAAAAGATTTTATTTATTTATTTGAAAGGCAGAGTTACAGAGAGGCAGAGGCAGAGAGAGAAAGAGGTCTTCCATCTACTGGTTCACTCCCCAAATGGCCCCAATGGCCAGAGCTAGGCAGATTCAAAGCCAGGAGCCTGGTGCTTCTTCCAGGTCTCCTATGCTGGTGCACTTGGGCCATCTTCTACTGCTTTCCCAGGTCAGAGCAGAGAGCTGGATCGTAGTGGAGCAGCACCCCTATGGAATGCTGGCGCTGCAGGTGGCGGCTTTACCCACTACTCCATAGCAAGTTTGCATTTTTTAAAAAAAGCTCTCCAGCTTTCAAAGCCTTTCAGGTCCCACACTTCCCTGGCCCTCACCATAGGCATGGGGGTTTGGGCAGCACAATCCCACAGCCTCAAAGCTGATACCTGGCAAATCCCTCAACCTGTACCTCGGCTTCCTCCTGGGCAAGTCTGGTCCTGGTGTTTCCTCGTCATTTCACAGGGCCCTTTGTGCGTTACCAAAACGCCCTCCTCCCTGAGCCCACCTGGCACTGGTAGCATCTGCAGCGTCAAAGGAAGAACACAGCAGCCCTGGGGGGGAGTGCAGCCCCCACCAGCACAGCCCCTCACCGGCAGGGAGCCAGGAGAGTGGCTGACCAGGCTCACCCACAAGACTGCAGCCTCTGGGGTGAGCAGCATTTGACCCATTTGCATATCAGCCAAGGAAACAGAGCCGCTGGGATAACAGGAGACTTGGAAAGAGGGCATCATCAACTTGTAGCAGCCCAAGGGTTTTTCAGTGGGAAGGGCTTTATTACCTCTTCTATGTGACCCCCGGAAGTTGAGCCTAACCACCAGCAGTGCAACTGCGTTTTTCAGAACAGGGAAGAACCTTAGTTAACTCAGCAGTTAGCAAATCCTAGCTCATCCAGCCGCTGACCACTTTGGCAAACAAAGCTTTGTTGGTGCACCGCTCCCCTCCCCCAGCATTTATGCACTGCCTGTGGTGATCTCACAGTGAGTCCTTGCTGTGGGGTCCACTAAGCCTAAAGTATTGCGTATCCAGCGCAGTTGTTTTCAGAAACAACTTGCCAGCTACCAACTGATTCAAATACCATCCCCTGTGATGTTCCCCCTCCCCTGTGGTATTCAAGCGAAAGCTGAAGTCCTGTTAAAAGAAATGTTGAAAAGGGCCCAAAGTTGCCACTTGTGGTGCTGGAATCCCATAGGGGCTCCACTTCCAAGCCACCTCCTGCTAATGGCCTAGGTAAAGCAGCAGAAGATGGCCCGAGTGTTTGGGCCCCTGGCACACACGTGGGAGACCTGGAAGAAGCTCCTGGCTCCTGACTACAGCCTGGTCCAGCCCTGGCTGTTGCAGCCATCTGTGGAGTGAAGCAGCAGGCGGAAACACTCTCTCTCTCTCTCTCTCTCTCCCCACTCCCCCAACCCCCAGAACTATCAAAAAATTTAAAAATTCTTTAAAAAACTGAGGAGTTTCTAATAGTAAAGGTATTTTTTGTTTATAGATGTGAGTACATAAGCATTACATTTACATTGAAAAAAAAGAAGAGGGGCCCAAGAGAAATATCAGGTCCCTTCTAGCCTGAAGGAGTCCAACAGTTAATGACAAGCAGTCAAATGTCTTTTGCACTTAACAACAGTCACAGCTTCAGTACGACCTCAGGTCTGCAGTTTTTATCACCACCCAATACCCAGCAAAGACAGCAGTGGCTTTCTCTGCCTGTTTAAGATGACAAGACAGATGATATACAAATTCAGGCACTCTCAGGGGTAATCGTCTTATGCCCAAGTCTGTCCCACTGGGAGGAGACACTCCTGTGTGCTCATTAATGACTTACTATGCATACCAATTCTGAGCCACCATACACCCAGGCGGCCCCATGTTGCCCTGTAGGGATTAGATGTGGAATCAGAGAAATTAGCTCCATTGGGCTCCGATGAGGTCTTTGGGGCTATCATTCAGCAAACCCGGAGCTGGACAGAGCACCTGCTGTGAAAGAACTGACCACCTGGGCTGGCTTGGCCAGGATGTGGTGAGAGAGACACCCTCTGACAGGTGCATCTATCCCACAAGCAACCACACGCATGATGCTACCAGCAGAAATTTGCTTTCTTTCCAAAGGAAATCTTAAAGAAAATCAAAATGGTCTCTTCGAAGGAGAGAAAGAAAGGCTATGGCCATTTCACTATTTTTTTCCCTCAGCCAGATTGGATACAAACAGGCTTGAATTCACCATCTCAGACATCTTGCAAATGCAGTGATGAGATGAGGACAAAAGACAAGGACCCCATGCAGGAACCCACAGCACGTGTGCAGAATCAGGCTTCCCAGCCCTAAGAGGAGGATGACTCCTTATGAACGGCATTGCCATAGTCGCGGGGATTAAATCCTGTTCCTAGCATCTAGACGGCCGCCCTGCTCCTAGGGGGCCTGGTCCAGTGCACACCACAGTGGAATCCAAGTGCTGGTTTTTCTAAAGCCCTCGTTGTTTTGAGTACTTATTCCTTACCCCATCAAAGTAAAATGATAGGGGCAACAAACTCCTTCTGCATCCTTTTCACATTTTACATTTTCTTGCTTCTGGTTTGGTTTTCAGGTGACAGTTGGACAAGCCAGGTGTCTGGCTGCAGGTTGCCTTTGGCAGGATTCCCCAACCCAGAGACAGATAACCCTAAGAGCTTCCTCCTGAGAAGCAGTCAGGTATTACTCGGGCCCAGGACACCCATTCTCAGGCACTTAATCATGTCCAAGCCCTATCTGAGCCACAGGCGTTCTTGCGTTCCAGTCAGGAGAAACTTTAGTGTTGCTCTGGTTTTAGGCACAATTTTAAAAGACCTCAAAGAATGCCAGGAACCCCCACACGAGCATCCCAAAAGACGCCCCACATGTTCCATGCCTTGGGGATACCCTGTGCCAGTTACTCCTTTGTGTGTTTCTCCCCATTACCGTCGTGACAAGGACTGTCTAATCCCCACACAGTGACGCCAGCTGTACCTTCACCTCCCCACCAGGCCACACAACACGTGAACTTTAGCCTCTTTGTGATTTTCACTATCTCCTATGGTCCTATAAAGCTTGGATAGTATTGAATTCTTTATATACATATATATATATATACACATACATACATATATATATATATATATATATATTTGTTTGAAAGTCACAGTTATAAAGAGAGAATCTTCCATCTGCTGGTTCACTCCCCAGATGGCTGTAACAGCTGGGGCTGGGACAGGCTGAAGCCAGGAACCAGGAGCTGCTTCTGGGCCTCCCACATCGGAGGCAGGGGCCCAAGCACGTGGGCTATCTTCCATTGCTTTTCTCAGGCCATTAGCAGGGAGCAGGAATGGAAGTGGAGTAATCAGGACTCAAAGCATGGGCGCCAGCATCACAGGTGGCAACTTTACCCACTATGCCACAACGCTGGCCCCAAATATTGAATTCTTAAATAAGAGGCGAGTCTTGTGTTTTTTATGCTAACTCACAGTGCAGGGCACAGGATAATACTACCTCATCCCTTGTTGATTGCAAATAGAATGATTCCTAGATATTTTATTTATTTATAACTACACAGTGCCAGCATGCTTGGTTTTGGCTCCCATGGTAAAACTGGAAAGCACTGTTAAATTAATTACTCCATGTACACACATCGCCTTATTCTGCGGATTAATATTAATGTCGTATATCAGTTCTGCTGGGGAGATTGTCCCATAAAACACAAGTTTCCATAAAATTACTAAGAATGTGAAGGTTGTCGAAGCCACTCATTCTCCTTCTTAGTCGCAACTATCCATAATGTTAATGGCTTTAAAAGCTGACAAATATCCCCAGTGACAGGGAAGCCGTGGTAATTAAGAGATAACAGGCCACAGTGCTGACATACAGTTGGGGACACTTCTCACACCCGCCCCCCCCCCCACGTTGACCGTGTCACCTGCTAGTGCGGAAGCCACATGTCACAGTGCAGCTCCGTCACGTGTGAGGAAGGAGTTGCTCGCCTGCGAGGCACACCTCGGGTTCCAGCCCTGGATCTGCGATCAAGACCCTGGCCGGGGCTTGCGCTTATTCCAACAGATCAGCCAGGGACTGGCTTGGCCTCTTTGAGGCAATGCACAGAGCCAAATCCACTTCAAGTTCCTTGCACTGGACTCCTCCAACTGCATAAGGAGAGACGGCCTTTGGGAGGGTTATGAAAAGGCAATGCCTCACGTAACACAGAAGGCTGCATTCCTATAATGACTGTATCAACAGTCGGTCCAGGAAAATTGCCAAATACAGGCACTGAAATAAGAAAACTGATACTTTCACCAGGAATAAGCAAGAGATACAAATCTGCTAGTTTCTTCTCCATCATCACCATAAGCAGCAGCCTTCACTGAGACTCTGTTCTGTGCCAGGCACTGTTATATACATTGTTTCAACCTATAATTCACAAACCACTACTGATACACATTAGCGCCCCATTGTACAGATAAAAACAGTGATCCCAAAAGCCCAGTGATTTTAAATCGTCAAATTAAACCTAGCTGATGAATATTTCAAACTGTTTGAAGCTATTTATTTAATGGCAATAGTAAAATACAAGGACATTTCACAACATTTGTGGACAATGCTTAATTTGGTCTGAAAAAAAATTAAAATCCATGCATACAAGAGATCTTCAAAAAGTTCATGGAAAATGCATCATGGAAAAGCAATACATGGATTTCAAAAGATTTTGCACCAGAAAAAATTTATCTTTTAATTATATTTTCCATGAATTTTTCGAACCATCCTCACATATCTCTATCTGACCAAGGAAGGAATAAAATGCAACACCTTCTGATGTCATTGAACACAAATGCAGAATTTTCACCAAGTAGCGCCTCCCTTTTCGGAGGCATCTGCAGCGGCTGCAAGACTCCCTCTCTGCCCTCCACTGGCCGGCATGCGGACTCTGCGGTCTCAGGGTCGAGCCTCTTGGAACGTTTACTCACTGCACCTACTTTGGGACAAAAAGAAAATAAATGTTCTTCCTTCTCTTCTCCATTTTTTCAAACTGCTAATGCTTACGTATCAGCAGCCTGCTTAAAACATCACTGGCGTCCACCATGCTTTCAGAGATCAGAGAACACCAGTCTGCAGGGTACCTCTTTGTCAGCTTCTAACGTCTGTCTTCTTAAGTCCTTTCAAAGACCACACACTCACTGCATCCCACAGCGGCTCGAACCTCTGAAGGGCAGAGTCCTGCTGCTGGCCTGAGTCGAATGGAAAAGGGAGATGAAGCCAAGATCAGTGAAAATGAAAACGCGTTTAAGGCCTCTCCATTTCCCCATCACACTGGGCCATTCTAGAAGTGGACAGATTCCTCAATATGTGTGTGTGTGTGTGTGTGTGTGTGTGTTAAAGATTTTATTTATTTGAGAAGTAGAGTTACAGACAGAGAGGGAGAGACAGGTCCTCCATTTGCTGGTTCACTCCCCAAAGCTGAGCTGATCAGGAGCCAGGAGCTTCTTCAGGGTCATCAATGTGCCTGCAGGGGTCCAAGCACCTGGACCATCTTCCACTGCTTTCCCAGGCCTTAAGCAGACAGCAGGCTCAGAAGAGGGGCAGCCGAGACACAGACCAGAGCCCAAATGGGCCACCAGTGCTGCAGGCAGAGGCTTAGCCTCCTACGCCACAGTGCCGGCCCCTGTGTGTGTGTGTGTGTTTCATCAAATGGCTGGAGAAGCTGTGAAAAGGGAGAGATAGAAGTGATAGTACTGACAGCATCAGGCAGCAACGGGGCGCTCACGTTGACTTGGAGTTAATATTCCTTGGGGGAAGACAGAACAAAAACCAGAAAGCACACGTACAACAAAGCCTGTTCTACAGACTGAAGATCTGTTGGATCAGCCGAGCTTGTCCGGCAAAGTAATACAGGATGTCTGTTTACCCTGTGAACTTCAAGTCTTAGAGTTGGAGAGAAACTAACATCGAAAGGTTGTATTCTGCTTTGGCTGCTGAGTATGATGGAAGAGTGATAAAAAAAAATCAACCTTTTTTTTTTACATTAACTTAGGAATGCTGCCTTGAAAATCTAGCATAAGATTCTCCTTCTCGGCCAGCGCTGTGGCTCACTTGGCTAATCCTCCGCCTGCGGCGCCGGCACACTGGGTTCTAGTCCCGGTCTGGGCGCTGGAGTCTGTCCCAGCTGCCCCTCTTCCAGGCCAGCTCTCTGCTGTGGCCCGGGAGGGCAGTGGAGGATGGCCCAAGTGCTTGGGCCCTGCACCCGCATGGGAGACCAGGAGGAAGCACCTGGCTCCTGGCTTCGGATCGGCGCAGCGTGCTGGCTGTAGCGGCCATTTAGGGGTTGAACCAATGGAAAAGGAAGACCTTTCTCTCTGTCTCTCTCTCTCTCTCTCTCTCTCTCTCACTGTCTAACTCTGCCTGTAAAAAAAAAAAATATTCTGCTTCTCACCCCAATATTAAACAAACTAATACAAATCACAAATCCGGCCACAGTACCAGAGCCTGGGACTTCTTCAGTGCCGTGCGATGAGAAGGATGTGTGGCCTGGTCAGCCCTGGGAGCCTAGAGGCCCAGAGCCGCCAGAGACCTGCTTATCTGTAGCCCTGATTCCAGAGCTGAAAATCCGGGAAGAGTGTGTGGGGCCGCATTGATTCTTCCACAGAGCGGCAAGCAGGCACAGCTCGCACACATCTGCTGGGGTTGTGTCTCCTTTGTACAAGACTGATGGCCGTGGCCAAGGCAGCAGCAGCAGTGGTCAGCACTGACTGAACACCCAGCGTTATCCTTGCAGCCTGCCGGCATTCCGCATCTTGTTTTATTCATATAGCCCCTCTCCCAGAGCAGAGAGGTGGTTCACATGTCACCCTCAGGGTCAGGGAGGTTGAAAACATGCCCCAAGCCACCACAGCAACTCTGTCTTGCCAAACAGCAAACTACCAGAGCACTCAGTGACTTAAATGTGCATTCTTGCACATTTATCACCTCACAGGTGCAATGGATTAGAAATATGGTGCCATGGGCAGGCTCTCTACTCAGGGTCTCTCTCTGAAGTCAGTATGTCAGCCAGGGCAGGGTCTCATCTAAAGGTTTTGTGGGTGTATGTCCACTCCAGGCTTTTTTTTTTTTTTAATTTTTGGACAAGCAGAGTGGACAGTGAGAGAGAGAGACAGAGAGAAAGGTCTTCCTTTGTCGTTGGTTCACCCTCCAATGGCCGCTGTGGCTGGTGCACCGCGCTGATCCAAAGCCAGGAGCCGGGTGCTTCTCCTGGTCTCCCATGGGGTGCAGGGCCCAAGCACTTGGGCCATCCTCCACTGCCTTCCCAGGCTACAGCCCAGGAGTCTCTCAGTGTGGCAGGAAGGGCAGGGTAACCGATTGAGTGTCATCATGAACTTCAGAGTGTACTTCCCGTGCCTGCCAGGATGCGCCCGGAGAAGCCCTGCTCTCCATCCCCGTGGCCTCAGCTTTATCTCGAACACACAGATGTCCTGGACTGGAAGAGGGTAACTGGGACAGAATCCAGTGCCCTGACCGGGACTAGAACCCAGGGTGCCAGCGCCGCAGGCGGAGGATTAGCCTATTGAGCCACGGCGCTGGCCACAGACTTTTTCTTAAAACACTGCTGGTACAGTTAAGTTCCTTAAGGGATGCCAAACTGAGGTCTTGACTTCCAGCTGACTGTGGCCAGGGGTCACTTTCCCTCTTTGCCACCTGAGCCTCTGCAACACTTCTGCTTGCTACATCCAGAAGTGCAGGTTGAATAGGAAACAGAGAGAGCCTACTGCAGAGGGGGACCACAGTCCCACGTAACCTGGTCCAGAAGTGACGTCCCAGGAGCTTGGCTGGGTTCTGTTGGTTGAAAGCCAAGCGACAGGTTCCCCACCCCCACACACACACAGTCCCACCCTACAGGAGGAGCTTTTCCCAGGGGTGAATAGCAGGGCTCTCTGGGATGCCCTAGAGTCGCCTTACCACACGTACCCATCCGGCACTAGGCGGCGCCCTTGCCAGCGCCCCATCTCCATGCTTTGTTCCCCTCCGGGTTTTGGAGGCTCGGCTCCAGCTGCATCTGCCTCCAAGAACCCTTTTCTGGCAACTCCAGCTGCCCCGCCTCCTTTGTCTGCTCCGCCCCCCCACCCCCCTGTGAATTACCATCCCGCCCTCACCAGCGCTGACAGCAGCAGATGCAGGAACTGTGACGCTGCCCTGATTCTGACCAATTCTCTGACGATATGATTTCAAGGGGCACGGGTTCTCCCACCAGGCGCCACACAGACCTGGTTCCGCAGAGCTCGCCCAGGGCTGGGGGCAAGACAGGGGCAGCGCGGTTCATTCAAAGCCTCCACGCCCACAGCCACGCCCACCCTCGGCAGCTTCGCATTTATATTAGATTGTGTTGAGAGAAAGATTCCACGCTCACCAGATAGCTGGAAGGCACTTGTCGGGCAGTAGGCATATTACGAGCGACAGGTTCCCCACAGTCCGCCTCTGTCATATTTCATTGGGAAAATGCATTTAAAAACCACAAGTTGACCCTAGGTACACGAGAGCCCAGGAGTCTCTCAGTGTGGCAGGAAGGGCAGGGTAACCGATTGAGTGTCGTCATGAACTTCAGAGTGTGCTTCCTGTGCCTGCCAGGATGCGTCCAGAGAGGCCCTGCTCTCCATCCCCGTGGCCTCGGCTTTATCTCGAACACGCAGACGTCCTCACCTGAACACCAAAGCAGGCGCCCACTCGTGCTCCTCGGCTCCAACTCACCCTCCGCCCTGTACACCAGCTGAACACACAAGCACCCACGCCGTTCCCTTACCTAGCCCCCTGCAGTGACATCCCCCAAGACAGAGGTCAGATCTCTGGGTGGCTCACAGGGCCCGTCGTGGACAGCTGCCATGCACGATCAACTCTTGGAAAAGCTCCCTACCCTTCGCAGTCCCCTTACGAGTCACTCGTTCCCAGGGTGGAAGGACAAACAGCCTCAGCCTGTCTCCGTTGCAGCTAGGACACGGTCACGTGGTCAGATCCCTCCTGGGAGAATTGGATGCCCAAAGTGGTCCATGGGGCAACGGACCCAGCCACAAGAAGAGGATTCCTCCGCTGTGGCTCCAGCTATCCAGCCTGGCACCACTGGTGCCAAGGGGAGGGTGCTAGCCACCGTGAGCCGGGCATCGGTCACGGCCGTGGCGTTTCTGACTGCATGGTCTCTCGACCTTGTGAGCTAACAAGAGTGGAGTCTGATTCATCACCGAGAATCCTGACTAATACCAGGTCTTTTATGTCCAAGCTCTGACGAATGTCCCCAGGCTCCCTCTTGGCTCGTCCGCTAACTCCCCATGACACGATCTCACTGTCTTAAAAATATCTGGAACCCACCCAGTACTTCCTTCTTTCTCTGGATGCCGGACTTTTCCACACCAGATGCCCTGTGTCTGGGGCATCCTTGGCTGTCCTTCCTTTGCCGTGGTGAATCCTGTTCACTTGTCGGGCGTTATCTTAGCTGTCCGTTTGCCTGGAAGCTCCTTTCTGGCTCTCAGGGCTGTGTCAAGGCCCCTCGATGAACCACACTTCCCTTCCTGCAGCACATTGCATTTTAACACACAATGACCCACACCGACCACCAGACTACACGTGGGGAACAGGTCTATCCAGCTCAACTTGTGCAGGGGAATTTGCCTGCCTATGACTGCACCCTCTGTTTTTTAAAGATTTTTTTTTTAATTTGAAAGGCAGAATTACAGAGAGAGTGGAGTGTGGAGAGAGAGAGAGAGAGAGAGAGAGAGATCTTCCATCCACTGGTTCAGTCCCCAAATGGCTGTAATAGCTGGGGCTGACCAAGTTGAAGCCAGGAGACAGGAATTCCATCTGGGTTTCCCACACGGGTGGTAGAGACTCAATTACCTGGGCCATCTTCTGTCGCCTTCCCAGATGCATTAGTGGGAAGCTGGATGGGAAACAGGGTAGCCAGGACTCCAACCAGCACTCCACTGTGGGGACACAGGCGTCCACAACACCCACCCCTTGCACTGTCTCTGATGCTGGGAAATGTGCTGATACAGTTGGCCCCACCTCCCCAGCTTCGGTGGCTCTAGGGTGGACCCCTGGTAATGAGAGAAGAAGTGGCCTCCTGACCACCGGCTCCAAACCGTGAGATGTGGGTCTGGGGGTTCTGGAGGGCAGGACTCTCACGTTATCCGCCTACCTTTACCTTTGCTGTCTGACGGTTTCTGTGGCTCAGGAGCCTGGGCACAGCTTTGCTCGGTCCCTACGCCTGGGCCTTCTCTGAAAGGTGGAGTTCCCACTCAAGGCTCAGATGGAGAAGGATCTTCTTCCAAGTTCATGGGGCTGTTGGCAGAATTCAGGCCCTTGTGACACCTGGGCCCCAGGGTCTTAGTTTGTTTTTGGCCATTGGTTTCAGTTCCTGCCTGGTTGTTGACTGTTGGCTGTTGCTTTCAGTTCCTGCAACACGGGGCTCCCAACACACCCGCTGGCTTCATCCTAGCCGGCAAGAAAAACACACCAGCAAGAAACAGGCTACGGCCTCCTGTGGTCACAGGAGAGACATCACGCTGGCTGTGTAAGCCGCAGGCCCCACCCACCCTCAAGGGAAGGAAATCCCACAGGGTTATGAGTTTTGGGAAGTTGTGATTTGGGGCTGTCTTCAACTGTCTGCTACACACTTTATGGTTGGAAAAAGTAATTTTACAATAAAGCAGAAAGAATAAAGAGATCAGACCTGAGGGTATCACAGGTTCTCATTCCAATCATACTGCAGTCCCAGCTGGAATCCGACAGTTTGGTTGCATGAGCCAACAAAGCATCCTTTTCCCACACAAGCTAATTTGTTGTGTGTCTATTTCAACCAATAATATGACAATGTCCAGGACACAACTGATGAGAGATGATCCGTAATAATATTTTGTGGAATCAAATTGACAGTCCTCCCTGTGGTGGTGATTCTAAGTCATCAAATCATAGGAGGCTAAGGCTTAGAGCCCTCCTTTCAATTTGCTCATTTTACGTTCTGAAAAGCAGAGGCCGAGAGAGAACAGATGAGTAACTGGTTCCTGGTCACACAAGCAGTCAAATGGTGACAAAGCCAGAATGATTCTACATCCTGAATCTTGCGGTGGTCAGTGGTGGTGGCAGTTGTGGTTCCAAGCATCAAGCGCCTGATTTTATACAAGGGGAGTTGTCCCTTATACATTACAGTGACACAATGACTGCCCTCATATCCCTGGGCCTCTTCCTTCTGGGAAGTTTACATCTCTTGTCTCTCTCTTTTTTTAAAATTTTATTTAAGTTACACATGTTTCATGCACTCCATATATACAGATTCAGAAGGACACTGATGCTTCCCACCATGCCCTCCCTCCCACCCAGGCTCAAACCCTTCTTCCTTCTCCCTCTCCCACTCCCAGTCTTAATCTTTACAAAAATCTATTTTCAGTTTACTTTATCCCTGTAAGGTTAACCCTACACTAAGTAAAGAGTTCAACAAATAGTATGAAGAAAAAAAAAAAAACCACTGTTCCTCAACAGAAGAGACAAAGGCCATAAATAATAATTGAATCTCAAAATGTCCATCTCTCTCCAATACATTACATTTTAGGGGATGTTTGCCAATGAGGTCACCCTCCAGGATCAATGTTAGAATCTTAAATTCCAGAAAAGGCCTTATTTGCAACACTGGCCCCTGTGAATCCATAAACCATGAACTTGATCCTCCTCTGCCAACATTTGTGGAATGAAATTACATCAGTACAGAAAACATTGCCTTCTTTGTAGTAAAAAACACATGAAGAATGAGGTGTAAATGAGACTAGACTTACTCTCTCAGTGATTCTAGAGGTTAAATAAAATACTGAAAAACATGAGCTCTTTGGGAAAATGCCTTCCTTGGGCTCACAAAATATATCTTTTTCATTTGACTTTGTAGCAGTTGGTCAATTTCTTGGCATTTGAACCAGCTATTAGCTTTCTGGAGAGGCAAAATCCTCATCTTAGGATCAAATTTGTTCCGCCTTTTCCCATGAAGGAAACAGAAAAATCCATCTTTCTTGAGAACAGTGTCAACCTGGTTGCCAGTTCCAGGCAAGCCCAGTGCCGTCATTTGGGGAGAACCTGCATCCATGGGTCTTTTCTATCCATCACACCGTCCAGAACTCCTTGGCAACAACAAACGATGCCTTCCCAGTACCCTCCTCAGAAACAGCAGCATCGACACGCTTCAGGTTTCCAGGGCAGCCAGAGGAGATGTGGGTGTCCTCAGGGTACCTGCACAGCACAATCTGGTTCCGCTCAGACCCAGCACTTACTACCTTTGGAAAACCAGACTTCACTCTATCAGCAAGTTCATAAGTGGCGTCAAGTCCATTTGGCAGATACAGCCAGAAAGCAGAAATGAAATTGAACTCAACTCCCAGGTGGAAGGAATCTGTGCACATATTGGACCTTCCATTAAAGAACGTTGGTTCTCTCTGAATTGGACTTTCAGCTTGAAATGTTCACTTATAGCCACATATCTATGGAGTTCCTGGGCCTCTTGGCTTAAGTGGGGATTTGGAAAGGCCCACATATAGCCTGGATGCCCTCAGTGTCATGCTGAGGCAGGTGAACATCACCACTGATGATGTAGCTGGGGTACATCAAAGACTCAGTATCCGAAGAATGACAGAGTCTAAGGGGATGGCCTGATTCATGAGCCACAACATGATACAAGTTGTAATTTCTGAAACTCTTGTCACTATATCTTTTTTTGTTGTTGACAGGCAGAGTTAGACGGTGAGAGAGAGAGAGAGAGAGAGAGAGAGAGAGAGAGAGAGGTCTTCCTTCCATGGGTTCACCCCCCAAATGGCCACTACAGCCGGCGCGTTGTGCCGATCCAAAGCCAGGAGCCAGGTGCTTCCTCCTGGTCTCCCCTGGAGTGCAGGGCCCAAGCACTTGGGCCATCCTCCACTGCCTTCCCGGGCCACAGCAGAGAGCTGGACTGGAAGAGGAGCAACCAGGACAGAACCAGCGCCCCAGCCAGGACTAGAACCCTGTGTGCCAGCGCCGCAGGTGGAGGATTAGCCTAGTGAGCCGCGGCGCCGGTGGTCACTATATCTTCATCCAAATGAGAATCCCCGCCATGGG